CTCATGGTTGCGGAACTGTGGAACATGTTGTCCTTTTGTGATGCCAAAATGGACAATCCCCAGGACTACCGCATCATTGGTAGCATACGCATGGTGACCCCTTTTGCCTTGCGTCCCACAACCAGAGGCTTCCTTATCTTGCTTGTATCCGGCCAACAATCAAGCGCGGGGGACGGATTCCCCAGGACAAATGTGATGCCGCACACCTAAAGCGGTGAGCTTCCTGATGAAGTCCGGCTGAAATGGCACAAAAAAAGCAGCCCCAAGCTGCTATGGAAGGGAAGCAAAGGGAGACTGCAGTTCACCTCGATTTCGCCAGGATTTCATCGCGTGGCTCGTGCCTCTCCATAGAGCCGAATAGGAAATGGGATTTTGCATCCAAAGGAGCGACCATGGTTTCTTTTCGGTTTCCCTTTACACCTAACCCAAAAAGCGTATCCTCCAAAAAAAATACGGAACAAATGAAGAAAAAAACAGCACGTCCAAATGCGCAGTGGCCAAACTCCCCTAGCCCGGCTGTAGAACCACCTACTACCACTGCCAAATGGGCTTTAGGCGGCTCCTTTTGGTATCCCCCTCAAGAGGCCCGGTATTTCTTCGCATTCTTCGGTTGCCTTTTTGAGCGACCCGAAGAATCCGAGGAGCACCAGTCCCTGCCCGAGGAACGCTGGACTGGAGCGAGATGCAGCGTGAGCTCGCAGACCACGCCGTGGCAGATGTAGATTTCCTCCTCGTGAAGGCCCAGGCGCAAGTCCAACAGACGGATGCCGCGCCTACGCGGAAGGAGAGGGACCCGAGACCACCGTGTTGTTTTTGTTTTTTTCTCAAACCCGGTTTTTTGTTCTTCTGTCTTGTTTTTGTTGTTTCTCAAACCCCAAAGGGGCCGAAACGGTCTTGGGGTGACACCCCAACGAGACCACCGCTTTGCTGGAGATTTAGATTTGGGATACCCGGGTGTCCGTTCAACCAAAGGAGGCCAACACGATTTTGGGGGACATCCGGAATACCCGGGCTCTTTTCCGAGGGACCTAGTGCCTGGCCAGAAAATACTGTGACCCCCCACCAGATGGCGCCTTAGCACGTCCAGCGTTAACACGAGTTGTCCCAGTCTGCTTTCAGCTTAGGCTGTGAGATCTTCAAAAGGGCAGCTCTTCCAGGAGGACGTTGAAGTTTTCCCGGTCAACAATGGAGACCCCTCCAAGAACTTAGGGATCTTTTGGGCTTGCCTTTGAAACCGTCGAATGGGCCAGATCTAGATCCCTAGCAGAAAAGTTCACGTTTTGCTGGTAAAGGAACATGACGGAATTCAAAAAGTGAAGAACTGGGTCTGGCCTTTTGTCTGGCAATGGGAACAAAGCTCGCCCGCTTGCCCGCTTTTGTTTGGTGAAAAAACAGTCAATGGGGGCGGCTTAAGAAGTTACGGGTGGACTGGGTGCTAAACCCCATTTGGGCACGTGCGAAAGTAGGAAAACACCCGTCTTGAGTGGGGTCCTTTTGGTTTCCACTTCAACCAACCCCAAAAAGAACCCAACAAGCAAAACATTCAGAGGCCATGCATGACTCTAAAGGTTGATTCCAATTCCAATCTCCACATTGATTCTCTTTGCAACCGTGCAGTTTCCCACGAAATTTGGCCACGAGGATCCCTCATGGAAAGGGAAGGTAGGAACTGCGTTAGCCGACGCACCTCAACGGAAAACGGTTGAGCAAACGAAGGTACTAGCCATATGATGTTTCCACACTTACTCAATTAGGCTAAATATACAAACAACCAACCAGTTTCTGACTTGTGACTTGAACCCCCAGAAACCGACTCATAATTTGCCAACCCAGGTGGTAGGACTCAAATACAACAACCAACCAGTTTCTGACTTTACTATTCTTCCCACTAACATAGCTAACATAGCAGGGTACCTGGAAGAAGTTTCCTCTTGAAGGGGCCATATCTCCGTCAGGTGCCATGGCAACGTGAGAGGGAGTGTAACCCCCTCGACTCAACAGCATTTACCAACCCAAGTCGTGGTTCAAGATAAAACGGCCAACCAGTTTCTGACTTTAACCCCAAAACAAACACTTTACCCCCCCTCCCCCCCAAAAAAAGAAGACAAAACAAAAGGACTCGAAATCCTGACTTTCCCCCCCCCCCGAAATTGACTCAAAATCAAACTTCTTTCGTAGAACCCGCACCCCGAACGCCTCAGCAGCTGGCCAATGGTCTCGCTCTGGCACAGCGCGGGCACGCCGGCCACCGGCCGCGCCACCGCCTGGGGAGGGGGTCCCTAAGGCCTTTTCTTTAGGGAACCCTTCCAAGTAGGATTCCATATGATGTATTTGATAGGTAACCAAAAAAAACCAAGGAAATTTAGGGAATCTGAAGGAACCCGAAAGAAAAAGCTCTCAACTACCCACCCGGTGTGCCCCTGCTGAGTCTACTGGGTCGACGCCCCGGAACGTCGCCGTCGCTAAGCCCTTGGTAAGGCCAAGGCACTTGTCTGGGCAACTGGCTTGAGACTCCTTGAGCTCATTCTGCTGTGGGTCGAAACCCTGTACCCTTGGTGAACATCAAAATACGTGGTGCATGGGTGTTCATCCGCCCCAAAATGGAGGCATAGGTTATGACCCATGGCCATATTGCCGGCAAGTTTACTCGAGTGGGTTCACTTTGACTTTGGAGGCCGGCGGAACTGTTCCCGGAGACTCAAGACTCCAAAGAGCTAACCGCCTTGACTCAAAGTGGGGTTCAAAACCGTCACAGCTGGTTCTCGTTTTGGTTTCCCGAGGCAACCCCTAAACAAGGTACCCGAAAAACGGCCATGTCCGGAAAAAAATACGGCCTGGATTTCAGGAAAGAACCCAAATTGAACCATCCCTCAGTTTCAAGAAAAAAACCAACTGGGGGGGTTGTCTTGGAATTCTCCTCCTGTCCAATATATTCCCTTATAAACAGAGAATCGTCCCATTTCCGGACCCTTCAAAACCTCATGGCTCCCTGGGTCCCTTCCAAAACCTGCGGCTCCCTGGGCAGGAGACGTTCGCATCGCGCGCGCATCGCGCGCGCATCGCCTGCACCAGGGCGGTGCTGGCCACGTAGCCCAGGGGCCCCAGCAGCTGCCGCGGCACCGCCCTCACGGCGCAGGCCCCGGCGTTGTGGGCCCCCGGCAGCGCCAGCTCGCAGAGCGTCCGCCCCTTGGAGGCCTCTGACAGGCGTGCGTGGCGCGGCGCGCGTTGGGCGCGATGGGCGGCTTTTTCGGCCGCCCCGGCTTTTGGGCGGGTTTCACCCCCCTCCCGCCCCCCAAAGGAAGACGTGAATAATTTTGTGCCCAACATGATTGTGTGCCCAAAGAAAAATCCCACCCCAAACCAAGGATCCAAACTGGTGGTGGGTCCACATTTTGGAGAAGAAGGGGTCGGTTCAACAAAAACAAAGGCTGCTCCAACAACCCGCAAGATTTGAGAACTTGGGCTGTGGAATTTCTGGAAGGTCAGGCTCAAAAAAATCAAAGCGTGCTTGCAAGCATTCCGAAAAACCGGCCCTTGGCCACGGCGTCGGTCTTTCAAAGTGCTGATTTTCTGGAGCTCTTCGGCAAGAGACACTTTCTGGTGGGGTTCGGGGGACCTTGCCGTATGTTTCACATTAGGCCAACCCCTTGTTCAAACATGTTTGTTGTTTTTACCGCTAGTGCTTAAACAGCTCCTCTTGTTGTTTCCCTTTGAAGGGGATCAGGGCTTGGTTCCTTCTCGCCCCAGAAACCCCAACCGCAACCGCGAAACCGAAACCGAAGCCTCTGGCATCTGCGCCATCCAGCAGGAAGGGACCATGGCGAAGTCGTCCATGGAGTCAAATTCACGCCAAAAAATGGGTAGGGGGACCCGTCTATTTGGGAGTGGCTCAAACATAAGGGTCCAAAATGGAACCCTGGTAAACGGAAAAGTAGACAAAGACTTGTGGTCCCTGGCTCTTAAATTTTGGAGCCCGTGTGTTGTTGACCCCCAAGTTTGGGGTCCCATTTACCCACAAAAACTAGATGTTCGAATCCAAATCTAAATCCAAAACCACCAATCCAAAACACCAATTGGGGGGGGGGGGGGGGAACCTGATAAACCCAAAACCTAAAGTTTGTGGACCAAACCAGGGTCCACAGCTTGCAGGTCCCAATCAAACCACTCAGGTCGACACAACAGGTATGGCAAAAAGCGTCGCATTTTCGAAACCGGCACCGCATGGGCGCACTGTGGAAAGCCCTGTGGCGTTTGCATCAGGCCCAAGGCCAGCAAGCTATGAGCCCCAGGCACGGTGTCGACCTTTGCCTGAAACACTGAAAGGGGTGAAGCACATAAGCTCCCCCCCAGCTTCCTCCGACCCCCAATGCAGGAAAGGGAACTTTGTTTGCAAAGTCTCTTTCGCTTGGTCCAGGTGTCTGCTTCAAACCAGCAAGTTCAATCTTTCTACATCAAAGTGCCCTAAAGCTTCTCCTTTCGCCGGCCGCCAGGCAGCGAACGAACTTCTCAGCCAAGCTTTCCCATCTGTTCTTCTTTCGCCCACGCAAAAAATAAAATAAAAAACACTTGAGGTGTTCATCAGAACCTCTGGACCAGAACTAAAAAACTCCACCCTGGTGTGCCCGTTTCGATGGATCAATTCCAAGGACTCCCCAAATTGTTTGCACCCCAAAGAAGCCAGGATCAAACTGCGTGGCTGCATGGGGAACATTCATGTGTCCCCTGGTTTGTATGCGAAAGTCGGTGAGTTCTCCCTGTCACCCCAAAGCCCTTTGAGCCATCCGTTGGGTAATGTGAAGGGGCACCCGGACTGGACAATCAAACTCGGGGGCATTCATGTCCACCAACCACTTGCGAGGCGGGTTTATCTTCTCAAGGCTCAGAGCGCTGGCAAGCAAAAAGGAAACTGCCATAGTTTGGCCCCCGCATTTTGGGAAGCTTCCGAGTTCTCACTGTTCTTTTCATAGCCATGTCTTGGTGTTTTCAGCTGGGGCCAAGACGAACTGGTCTGGCTCTGTCTGGCGCTTCGGCTCGCTCTTCGGCTCCTGTATACCCTCGAACTCCAAACACACAACTCGGCAATTCGTGTCAAAACTAGGTGTGTCATCCTTTTCCCATTGGGCTGTTCATTTGGGCCTGTCTTAAAAAAGGGTCCCATAAAATGGCCTGCCTGTTTTATCCGGGGTGTCCAACAAAACCAAGCCCGAAAATATGCCAGCCGCAAAAAGAAAGGCGCCCCCATTTCCCTTTGCAAAGGGGGGCGGGTGTCTTCCTCTAGGGAACCCCCCCAAAAAAACACACACACACAAACAAGTTGGCCTTTTGGTTTTCCTTTACCCCCTCTCCCCCCCCCAAAAAAAAAAGTATGCTTTTTTCAAACCACCGGTTACAAGGGGCACCAACTCAAACAAAAACAAGCTTTGGTTTTCCTTTACCCCCCCCCGCCCCACGCCGAAAAGAAAAAAAGAAAGAGAAAGACGACGCAGGCGCATGCGCCATCGCTGTCCTCCGGCTCTGACTGTGCGGGGGTCACCATCGGGGTTCGGCGGACCTGAAAATGCGAACGCGGCTCGCTTCCTCATTTGTCTTTGGGAGAACGGTGCCCCGTGTTTTTGGTTGGGTACGTTTTAAAGGGAAACCCAAAGTAAAACCGAAATCCATTTTGAGGGTGGGTGCCCTGAAATGAAGACACACCCAAGTGGACGTCTCAATTAGGTGTCCTTTGAAAGGTTCCCTGAAAATACCAACCCAAGGGGAGCGACGATGAGGTAAAGTAAGTGACTATAAGTTGAGGGCTTCCGCCAGTAGCTCTGTATGGTTCCCAGACGCACTTACTGCAGGCAGCCCTCAAACCATAAGACGGTGGCTGTGAGTATGAGTACATGGAAAGACGTGCGCTTTTGGGCTTCACCCGTTGCGTTGTGTTTGTTTGAGGTACCCGAATTCTAGTGGTTTCAAGTGACCAATTGACCATGCCACATTCCGACCTTTGACAGCCCAAACCTGCTAAGAACCTGAAATGTTGGATTCCTTCATTGCGACCCACCAGGGTATGGGTGTGGCTCAAAATTAACCAGGAGGGGCAAACAGCAGGTGTTGGTCCATGTTTCCACTTACCAGGGCAACCCATTTTGGAATTCCGGTTTTTTGAGCCACAGCCGTATGGCAACCCACAAAAGGCAACCGTTCCCTCTCGGTTCCCCAAGAAATCATCCTGCCAAAACGCCAGAGTCGCACAACCGTGGACCCCCCCCCCCGCTCCGAAGGACACCAACCGCCTCGGCTCGCCATTTTTGAGACCCCAAGTAGATCAGAGTTCCCATCCCCCTTTCGGTGGTTTTCGAACATCGCCTGTTGGCTGCCAACCTTTTTAAAAGAGAGTTTCCTATGGGGGGGGATGTTCTTCAAGGCGAAGTGGACGAAATCCTGCACCAAGTTAAACCACACCAAACCATTGTCTGTTGGTATTTGCAGGGGAATCATCATTCCAGAGCTTCTTACGTGGTGCGAAACGGATTTCGTCCATCCACAGTATCTCACCCCAAACCGAAACCCACTTGGCGCCGCGCGTACTGCGGCCGACTCAGGCAGGCAGGTACATCTTTGCACCCTGGGGGCACACCATCGCCCTGCGGCGCGAGCGGATTCGGAGGATTTGCGAGCGGATGAACCCAAAAAGGAGAGTCCGACATGGGGTTTCCTGTTACCATAGTTCCATCGACCTGATTGAAATTGAGGGATGAAAGAATCTAAAAGTCCGACATGGGGTTTCCGGTTACAATGCTGTGGATGGACGAACTCGTGCCCCACTTTGAACTCATGGGAAACCATTGTTGGTTGGAGTTTGCAGGGGAGTCAGCTTTGCAGGGCTTTCTTCAGTGGTGCAGGATGTCGTCCATCCACAGTAGGTCCATCAAGGGGTTCAAATATTCGAAAAGCCGATCACCTTTGCTTGGTCGAAAAGGCCTCGACCCATGAAACAAGTCAAAAATGATGGTCTTCAAGTTCCGTGGTAGTCTGTTGGGTTTGGGAAGTTGTGCTTGAACCCGCTGTGGGCGGGGAATTTGGGTCCGCAAAAGAAACCAAGACAACTATCAGCTTCACCGCGGAATGCAAATGTCAACCAGCTGACAGCTGGACCCATCTTGGATCTGTCAGTTTGCGTTCACGGGCACCAGAAGGAGCCCGTGTTTGTTCTGCGGTGGTGCCGAAGCATAACATTTGAGAGGCGGGTCAATCATGCCCAGAACATCAAATCCACCAACCTCACGAGGCGTGCCAACTTTTGCACAACCAAATCGACAAGATCTCAGCTCAGATTCCAGAGTGAAAGACAGCTGGAGTGTTGGAACCTCCTTTCTCTGCGTATGAACCCATGAATTATGGCTCAAGCAATGAACTGAGCAAGTAACAATACGCTTTGTTTGCCAAGAGGGCAAGATAAATCTTGGTGGTACCACTGAGTGCCATTGGGCTTTGTGAGAAAACTGGGTGGCCAGGTCATGTCCACCACTACTTTTGTCGGCTCGATCAGGGAACTTGCCACCCGAAAGGATTGCCACTGGAAGGTGGCGCAAAACAGCCACGGTGTAGAAGTTTGTACATTGTACCCCGCATGGATCCTTCTCTGCGTGTGATGCCTGGAAGCTGGTTTGGCTCCGCATATGGGCTTGTCTTCTTTTGAGGGTTTCCCCCTTGTTCGGGCGGTTTAAAAGGGAAACCAAAGGAACACCGTTGCAAAACAAAAAACAAAAACATTATACAAAAAAGAAGAAAAACAACAAAGTGGCGTCCTTTTTGGCTTCCTTCTAAAACCATTGAAAAAGGGGCACTTTCTAAAAGGAAGGGAAGCACGTCCAATATGCCCCACATGTCACACAAATCCGGGTACCTCACGTCTTCCACTGAACCCCCCCAAACTCCCACTCACCGACCTGCAAGGCCGAGCTTGCCGCGCCGTCCTCCACCTAAGGCGAAGTCGATGGAGTGACATGGCGCCGGTTGTGGGCTTCTCGCTGTGGCCAGACAAATATGCTGTTTGTTTGGATTTGGTAATTTGCTTTTTTTGGTTTGGTGCTTTGTTTTTGTTGGGGTTTGCTTTCTTTTGTTCTTGTTGAGTTTGCGTCTTGGAGTGTGTGCCTCTTTGCAGCCAGAACCGAAACCCATGTCATGGGTTGCCATGTCCTTGTTGGAGCTGGTAGCTCATTGTATTAGAGTTGGTATCGGCTTTTGGGAGCTTCCTTTGTCACAATTTGCCCACAATCCAAGTGCTAGGCTAAAGGGACACAAATAAGCGAGGAAGTCTGACTGTGGGCACTGTGCTTTGTTGCTAGAATGTGTGGTTGCTTGCTTGTTTACGAGCTGCTAGCTGGCTGCTTCTGTTGGAGTTGGTACCTGCTTTCGGGGACTTGGTGCCCTCTTTAGACCGGTTTCAAGGGAACCTTATAAGGAAACCCAAACTGGCAGATTCAGTCGGGGTTGCCAATTTTGAACCCAACTTCGTTGCCAACTATGAACGCTGGGTTCATCTTATCAAACCAAACCACTCGGAAAGTTGTGGTTTGTGGGTCAGTTGGTCTGTGTGGATGAGACGTTGAGTTTGTAGGTTCGAGCATGTAGGTGGGCATTCCGTGCTTCCCCGCCACTGCCAGGAGACCAGGGAAACCAAAAGAAACACCATACTCTTAAAGATCTGAATTTATAAATCTTTGGTTAGTTTTAAATTATTGGGGGATAGGCTCCTTGATGGCTCAGGGTGACTGATTGTCAATCTGAGAAATCTGGCATGGCTAGTAATTGGTTTAAATGACCTGAAATCCAGTCGATGCAGAGTTCCAAGCTGGGTGCTCAAATGTGCGACCCGGATCTCGAAGCTTTTGATTTACTTGGGAGCTGCTTTCAGTATGCTCCGGCAGTTGGAGCGTGTTGCCTTCCGCACCTCCCAACTTAGCAGCTCCGCCCCCCTTGGGCCCCCGGACACCTTTCAAATTGCCGAAGCAGTCCAGCACGTAGGTTCCGGGAAAGTGGACCCGATAGGTGTCCAGCGCAAACGGCAGCTTCACCTCACGCCCGAAGCGCCAGGGATCCCATATGAAGACCCTCAGTGCAGCTGCCTTACACGCCCTAGGCACAAGGGGGCGGCGGGCGTATGGGCAAATCAGCAAGGAGCCCTTGAACCCTGCACGCTAGCATGGCCAAATGGATGATATATTGGATGATCATACAAAAAGGGGGGGGGCGGCATGGGCAATTCAGCCACCAGAAAAGCAAGGAGCCCTTGAACCCTGCCAAGCTAGCACGGCCAGATGAATGATTCTGGCTTTCATGTGCGAAGGGATGCCAACTTGGGACAACATCCTGGTCACCTCCCGCCACATTGATAGCAAGCCGCCACGCGTGGCCAAGGCACGCGTCCAACTGCTAAAATGTGCTTCGGACCTCTTCAGAACAAGACGGAAGCGTCGAGCCACGTCCAAATCAAGCCCCATACCTTCATAATCATAGGTGCCCTTTTGGTAAGATAGATGGCCCTGGTAAATGCAATCAAACCCATTTTTTAGCCAGTGCCATCTACTTCTAACCAAACCAACCTACAAAAGGCCACTTATGTTCATAGTTCGAAGCCTCCGTGACCATATGCCGCCCCTTGCGTTGTCAGCACCAAGCCCTGCCACCCAGTGGTTCCCCCAGCCTTCTTGGCGGATCGGTTCGATGCACCGCGGGTCACTCCGCCCTTCTGGACCTCCCAATACACCTCAGGGTCCAAGAAGTGCCACCAGTGCCATTCAGAAAACGCATTGAAACCATAGTTGGGCAGCCTTTTTGTTGAGGGTATCCCATTCTTTGTGGTGTTAACCAGGAAACAAACAAAAAAGAACACAATGCATTTTGGGGTCTCCCAAAAAAGACGCACCCATATTTGTTTGTTGGTTGCTTAAGGGGCTATATTACACACGTACGTGGCTTCAACCTCCCTTTTTGCACTCTCCAGGGGCAGGGGCAGCTCTCCTTGTGGGATGTATGCTTTGCAGGCTTGCTGTTGAATCAAGACACCCCCCACCCCCCCCCCGCCCCAGCAGATCCACCAACGAACATCCCAAGGCCGCTGAGTTCAAAGAGAGCGGAGCCACGCCTGGCTCTTCTGAGGTCGTCTGAATATATCTGAATAAGTCAACAAATGATTCATATGTCTGTGCTGAACCAACCAAGAAGCAAGCGAGCAAGCAAGCAAGCAAGCAAGAAAAAAAGAAAGAAAGAAAGCAAGAAAGAAGAACAAAAGGAGAACAAAGAAAGGACATGCTAGAAACAAAGACAAACAGAAGAAAGAAGAGAGATAAAGGAAGACAGGAGCTCATTGACAAACCGATGGCCTGGCATTGCTGACGGTTGTCGGGCAACGCTTCTCTTTTCATCAGCTTTGCAATGTACGGCCTCATTGCATTTGTCATGGTGATGGTGTCTGGGTGTATGGCAATTTGCCAGCATCATGATGATGATGATGATGATGATGATGATGATGATGATGATGATGCTGCTGCTGATGATTGGCCCTTCTCTCTGCCCTAGAAATTCCAAATTGCCCAAATGGATTGGCACCTTGCCCGGATTTCGCTGAACCCTCCCCCCCCCCAAATTCGCCTTGAAGGCCGCGAATGGTCCCGGCAGCTTCACCATCAGCGCGCCCTGGGACATTGCAAAGTTCAGCACCTCGCGTGCGCAGTGCACTCCGCATGGTTTGGCAAACCATTTGCTTCAGCCACCTGGAAAAAACAAACATGCTTCCAGCAGTGATAGGTTCCCTTTACAAATCAACAGCGGAAAATCGAAAAGTAAATAGTAATAAGCCACCTGGAAAAAACAACATGCTTTCAGTGGTGATAGGTTCCCTTTACAAACTAACAGGGAAAAATTACAAAAATAGTAAGCAGATGGGAGTTGCTGCCAACCCCTCTGCAAAAAGTCTAACCTGTGCGGGTTGAATGGAAAACCTGAATGATTGCAAATCAAACAGTTCGAGTCTAAAGATCCAACCCAATGCCAATCAAGATTTGGTCATCGAAACCTTAGCCCGGTTTTGATCATGGCTGAAGTGGGGCCCCTTTGTGCGGTTGGAAATCTAGACTTTGTCCCTCTCGTCCCTCCCGGATGAAACACGGGAGATGTTGGCCACCAAACCTATGCTGAGGGGAGTCCAGAGATTCAGAACTGTCAAAGTGGTCCTAGCAATGTCAATATTAGGGCTCCTTGACTTTGGGGAAACACCGCTATCAAACCATGGAGCAAGTGTTATTTTGATGGTACCCATCAGGTTGGCTTGAAGAGACACCCTTCAAGCGGACCATTTTGAGGGTCTCCTATTTGAACACATCACAAAAAGATACCAGCCTCCCAAACTGAATGCCGCCTGGCCATTGAGAAACCCGGAAAAACAAAAAAAGAAGAAAACAACATTCGCCGCATGACCACATGGCACACTTTAATCAAGCTGTCTGTTTGGTCTCACTGAGAGAACTGCGGCCGGTGCTATTGCCGTGCCAATTATCTCCCGTCGCTGGGGCCTCGCCCGGCAAAGCACGGGAGGAAACGTGCTTCTGTGCTTGCTGGATTCCTTGAAACGAAGGGCTTGGAATTGAAACAGTTGATTTATTTAAACAGCCGGAAGGCCAAATACTTTTTTCCAATCATGATAAGTCAGTTCCACCGGGAATCCGTCGCCAATGCAGTGGACGTGCCGCCAACACAGTGGACGTGCCGTCCGGCGAATTAGTTATCAAATTCGGCCGAGTGGTATCCACGCGACTCATGCGTCGAGCTCTGCAAGCTGCTTCATGGGCGGGTGCGGCATGGCCTCCGATCGCTCTGAAAAGCAGGCGCTCACCAAAAGCCTCCAAACAACTCGAAGCGGCCTCAGGGCAACCAAAAATCCATGCGGTTAAAAGGGAACCTGGACTACACTGCAGGATCCTTTTTGTGGGTGGATCCAAAAGCTTGTCCTGATCTTGCCTTTTGACTGGGGTGCCCGAATCGAAGCCTCGGCCCCTCTCACTCACCTATATATCTCTTATTTGTCCAATCTTCCTCTGGGACATGGTCATGGATTGGAACCTTTACGGTGAACAACTATCAATCCACCCCTTGGTGGGTTAAAGGGGAAAACCACCCAGTTTCTGACATTGATCATCCCTAGAAACAACATGGTGACCCCAGTTACATTGGTTGTCTTAAAAAATAGGCCCGGGTGGTGTCCCCAACAGCCCCGGAACCCCTGGAATCCTCCTTTGGAACCCTCCCTGAAAGCTGCCCCAAACCACCCCTTATCGCCTGTGTGAGCCTATCGAATGCTATGCCCAGCAGCCTTCGTCACTGAGGCTGGGGCAGGTGTCTCCGCGTTCCCGTCGTTCTTCCCACCGCCGATGGCGAAGTCTGCGCTGAACTTGAAATACTTCGGCAGCAAGCACTTGATCCTCGGGGATCGAAGCGGTTCACTGAGCCTTGTTCGGTCACCACTTGAGCGCCATCCGTTGTTAGCGTACCAACTGAGCATTTGACATATCCCTGCAAATATGGCCATGGGTCAAAATCCGGTACCCCCAGTGAACATCCCAATCCCCACTAAAATAGACTAAAATGGGTGGCGCACCTACCCCAAAATGGTACCATTGGTTTTGACCCAATGCCATATAGGTGTCAATGGCATCAAAATGTGTGGGTGAGTTCCGACTATTCGTTGATGAAACAATCTCAGCCATGAGCCACGGTTCACCGCTGAGCATTTCCCCAGTTGGCCTAGGGATCAAACACGACAAGCCTGTCATCCCGGGCGCCTCAGCTTCAACCTCACCCCCGTCTGAGATCCACAGAACGAGCAAATGTATTTCGCTCCATGGGCCCTGAATCCAAGGGCTGCATGTGAGTCAGAATCACAACCTGGTATTAAAACGGTCTACCCAGAACATTTAGGAATTAAAAAGGTGACTGCACAATTTATGGTTGGGATTCTCCCTTACTAACCTTCATCTTTGCCGGCTTTTGGGTGTGGCAACATCTGCTGCTCTGTCGGGCTTTGACCAACTCTTTTGTTGCAAGGTCGTTCAGCTTCGACGCATGTCAGGCACGAAAGACAGCAGGAGCTATTCCAACTTGCCACACACCCGGCCCGTTCACCTTTTTCAAGGGAAACCGAAAGAAAGCGACCAATCCTTAGGGGTCCCCGATTTTGAGAAGCAGCCACAAGTGGATCCTTTGGGAGCTCGACTTTGAAGCAAGTCGCCCATGGGTGCTGCAGCACATATTCGGGGCGACGCGGTGGTTGTAGGTCTGGCCCTCCGGGAACAAGGAGCACCTGGCAACGCGTGCACAGCGAGCCCTGCGCTTCTTGCTGCTATAGGCAGAGAACGAGAAAGATGAGAAAGGGAATGGCCAAGAACCATCCAACCGATTTGGTTTCCCGTCGGGAATCTCTTTCCGGTTCATTCCCGCAAGGTCCATTCCCTGAGCACCAGCAAGTCAGTGCCCACAACCCTATTCTACTAGTCTAGCCCTTTTCGTGTCCCATTCGCGTGGGTTTGTTTGAGGGCCCTGACACGTACCCATTTCGGGCAAAACCCAATGTTGACCCCAGAAAAATCAACCCTGCTTATGAATATGGGACACATATGGTTTTTTCGTGGGAATTCATCACTGTTGAAGGGGAAAACCCCCATACCAATAAACAAGAGTTGATTCATCTGGGATTTAACATTAAATGAGTCATAGTCAAAACCCGGTACTAAAATGCTCTACCAAGAACTATGTAAAGAATTAAGAAGGTGGCCGCAGCTATGCATGGTTGGGATTGTCATCTACCCGGGCTTTGATTGTGGCTCAAATGGATTGGTCCGGATCGAGCGCGGCGCTTCTTGTAGCACAGCCCATCGAACATCTCCTCGTCGAGAAGGCACGCCCCCTGGCGACCCGTTCGGCCGCTGGGAGCCACCAAGCTACTTAGTTACTAGGTGTTCTGAAAAAAACAACAAATCCCCACACCTCCTTGTGTTTTCTTGGAAAATTGTCAAACCTTGTGATGATCAAACAATCCCAAACCCACGAAACTTGCAAGCAGTTTCGCTTGTCAATGGCCAGGCCCCAACCTGCACTGGTTGGTTCCTGGCGAGACCCCTCTGCCAAAAACTTAGCAGTGCTTTCTATCGGTTTGTGGGTCCAACGCGGAAACAAAAACAACACACACACACACCTGTTGCAACCAGAAAGATATAAAACACCCAATCCCACCTGTTTCAACCAAGAGTTAAAATAAGGACAATCCAAAGATCCGTTGCCAAATAGCCATGTAAAGTCGTGGAGCTTCTTGGACCTATTGGACCGCCCTGCTGAGCTATGCCCCGCCTCGAAGTTTGGGCATCCGTGGCCTTCGTTGTCTCCTGCTGGCGGTTTGGCTTTGGCTTCGGGAAGGGGAGAGCTTCAAGTTGGGACTTGGTGGACATCAACTTTGGGTAGTGGGGTACAACTTTACTTTAGTAAACTTACTTTAAGTTGGGCCCCCTGTGGACGTGATTCAGGTCGGAAGTTTTTGTCCACCAACCTTGCAGGAGGGTGTTTCCCCATGCAAATTGATATCCACATCTGGCACTCAAGGCTGACCCGACCCCTTCCGCCCTGTTTTGCCGCGGGTCAAAGCATGGAATGGGCGATTTGTCTACACGTTCCTCATCAAAAGGTTGGCCGCTAAGAGGGCGGACGGCGCTGGTGGAAGACATTTGGAACCCGAAAGATCCCAAGTCCCCTTGAACAGCCTTTATTCCCCCTACTAGACGCTGGTCTCAAGATTGTTTTGGCAGTCAAGGGACTTCAACTCGCAAAAGACCCTCCTGGATATCATCCGATTCAAGTTTGGGGTGTGCAGCTTGATACATCTGATGCTTCGCGTGTCTCTCCGGCACAGCCCAAAGCACTTGCAGCTTGCAGCCGGCCCTCCTGCCACGTCAAAGCCGGAGCAAAAGCCGACGTGGATCCTGGCGAGGGGAACCCAACTGCCGGTTCCCAGCAAACGAGGGGCATTCTCCAGCCGTGATCCAAGACACCAGAGTCACTAGAGCGATCGTAAGAAACAATTCATCCAGCCCGGCGGGATCTTGCAGCTGCGCAGGCCTAAAGCGTTTTGCAGCTCCCGATTGCTTTCAAGCTTGGAAACCATCTGCAGAACCTTGCAATCGCCAGTGGACATGTGTCTTCTTGCCTTTTGCTGCCATTTGGAAGTTTCTCAAAATGCTAGACCCCCCCTTTGGTTGGCAATGAAAGGGAAACCAACCGGCCACCAACCATTTTGGGGGTTCCCTATTTTAAGATTCACCCGTGTCTCTCCAAGGAAAAACCCCGCGCGCAACAACTGCCGCGCGCCTGGAGTTCAGGAAGCCGCCTGAGCTTCCGACCGCTTTCAGGGAGAAATCCCGGTGTCCCCAGGCGTTTGCTTGGCCAACAGCACTCGAGTCACTTCGAGCCGTCATTCCAGGGGTTGATTCAAGTTGATTCCCCATTCTTTTCAACCATCGTTCTGTTCGAAAAACCGGCTGTTTCCCCGGGGTTTTTGATGGTTTTCTGAACAGAAATTCGGAAGAATGGAAATGGAAGGTACACCCAGGAGTCATGGGAACCAGCCCGAAGCTCCACAGAAACCAGCCTGCCAGTAGCAGATCCTTTTTATGGGGATA